GAGCCTCTTGGAGCAAGCTCAACTCTAAACAAGCAAAAGAAAGCTCCTTGTGCTGCATTTTAGCCCGAACGCCCCCTTTTATAGAGAAAACTGTAGGCTCACCATAAAAGTGCCTGTCATTTTCTAAAAATACGCCTCGTACAACTACATCGACACGTGTCATCGAACGATGTTCTGACTCCTCAAACAGTCAACATCTTTGCCGTCATGCCTTCTAGGTGCCATGATCACCAGATCACAAGGCGAATTTCACGCTGACGCTTCACCTGCCAAAAACGTCACCTCACCGAAGGAAGGCCTGTCGCACCTTTCTGAATTCCATCATCTCCTTCAACCAAACGTCACCAACGGGAAGCAAGTTCTCCAAACCAAGATGACCATACCCAGAGCTCCCGCACTGGCTCTCCCTCGACAACCTTCGTTGCGACGCCCAATGGTGCGAAAAAAAAAAAAAACAGGCATGGCGAAAACCCAAAAAGGGCACTATGAGTAAAAAGGGAAAGAGAGCAGAAGGTGGATGTGACCCCAAAGTCATGGGCAAAAATACCTCAAAGGGGAAGCTGGTGAAAACCATCACCGTGGCACCACTCCTGATCCAAGTGGAAACCTGGAAAAGGGCACTTGGAGCCAAACAAAAGTTCAGGCCTCAGTGCCATCCTCCAAATAAAATTTTCAGCCTCAGCGCCACCCTTCAAAATAAAATTTCGGCCTCAGTGCCACCCTCTAAAAATTTCAGCCTCAACACACCCCCCAAAAAAAAATTCAGGCCTCAGCGCTAGCCTCCAAAAAAAATTTTCGGACTCAGCGCCACCCTTTAAAACAAAATTTCGGCCTCAGCGCCAACCTCCAAACAAAATTTAGGCCTCGGCGCCGCCCTTCGAACAAAATTTTCAGCCTCACTACCGTCCTCCAAAAGTTTTGGCCTCAGTGCCACTCCCTCAAAAACAGAATTTCGACCTCAGTGCCACCCTCAAAAGAAACATTCAGGCCTCAACGCTGCCATCCAAAAATTTCAGCCTCAGCTCCACCCCCTAAAAAAAAAAAGAAAACTTTTGGCCTCAGCGCCACCCTCAAAACAAAATTTAGGCCTCAGCACGGCCCTTCAAAAATTTCAGCCTCAGCGCCACCGCTCAAAAACAAAATTTCGGCCACAGCGCCACCCTCAAAACAGAATTCTTGCCCCAGCGCCGCCCTCCAAAATTTTCCCGGCCTTAGCGCCACTACAAAACCCTCTCGGCCCAAGTGCCATCCTTAAAATAGTCGAACAAGAAAGAAGAAGCGGGAAAAGGAAGAAATCACTCAGATGGGTCGAAGATTCCCCCGTGGGCACACGACTGCCAAGCCGGAGGAACAACACCCTACCAAAAACTCAGGGTGGAGTCTTGCCAAAGAGATCACATCGGAAACCCTCCTTATCGACTCGTCCAGACTATTCGGGACAGACCATACAAAAGCCCCCGACTAGACCCGATACTATGGGAACCGAAGAGGTACCCTGACCAACCAAAAAACCATACCCAAACTCTAGCGGAGTAGCTCATGCGTCTACCAAGGGCTCTTCTACCATCTATCTAAGGCACAGGCCTCCAAAACGTCTTGGCAAGGATTCTAAAATGATGAGCTTCGACGTCAAAAACCACTTCCCTCCAAATGTTGTGCTTCTCACCTCTCTTTGAAGCATAGCATACGTCGGGGCAAGTTGTTATACGTCATTTTTTACACACCTCAGCCTTTCAAAATAAAGGAAGAGAGTTAGTTGCAGCCCAGTCACCGCGGTGCATATGACATAGCCTCGTGGAAAACGATAGCCGTAAAAAAAATCAGCCTCGAATAAAGATGACCAAGGAAAAGGTTCCTACATGAATTAAAAAAAAAATCGAAGCCTTATCCCTGCCACCATGTGTGTATGAGCTGGATAGGCATGGCTAACGACCATTGTTTTCTTCCAAGAAAAAGGAAGTGGGCCCAGGCTGAAACAGAATGACCCAGCGGCCCTAAGCCCCAATCATCGCGATGTAGGGTAGAGGCACGCCTTCTTTCATACGGCCTCATCGAACCAGTCGACGACCATGGCAATTTTTGGTCACTCCTCGACGAGCTCACAACTCCTTCCTTGTAGCAGAAGAGTAGCCAAGGCTCGCCCACGAAGCTTCAACGACATTCCTCTTTCTAAACGAACGAACGTGAAGAAGACAAGTCTCCTCAGAGAAAACAAGGAAAAACAACCTGAATCCATGCACGTCGGAATCTTCAGAAGGACATCTTGACCCCCACAAAGAGAAACTCGGCTGCACAAAAACTAAAGAAGAACACTTGTAAGAAGAAAAATTCAAGACAAACGCAACAAGCATCATTCAAAACAAAACAGAGAAAAGGCATGAAACCCAAGGTCACGACAGTAAATGCAAGAAAATCCTCATCGTCGAAAAATCCCTTTTCTGATGATCCACTGAAAGTCCAAGAACAACACAAAATAGATTAAACCCTTTCCAAACAAAAAACTCCAGAAGAAAACCTTTCCAAGATTCACTGAGATGCTCCGGATCAAAAAAGAAGTCATCAAGAGAACCCACAAAACTGACTAGGCTCCTTCCCTCACAAAAGGGATTCTTGCAACACGATCAAAAGCCATCAAAACGATCACAAGAAAAAAATTGACAAGAATATGACAAAAGATCAATCAAACTCATGCTGCAATTCCCCGGGAAGAGCTATCAAAGTTCGATGATGGCGGCAGGCTTATCAAGACAGGATGATTCTTTCATTCACGCAAAAGAACCTAAAGGGAATTTTGGTCATTGTACCAAATTTTGGGAATGTATTTAATTATTTTTAATTGTATTTAGGCTTAGCTTTAGAGAATCTACCCCTGTTTGTGGAAAACTCTAAATAAACAGGCTTAAGTCAATTATAAAAGGGGAGGACCATACAATAAAGAATAGGCATTACGCTTGATTTTGCTTGTCTTTCCTCTTAGCCCTAGCGTCTCATGGAGAGGAGAGAGAAAACTTTTGCAAGAGAGGAAAATACCCCCGATCGTGTGGGCATACACTTTCCTCTTCTCGAAGATGTTTATCGCAGCGGTCGGGACATGTCCCCCCAACCCGCAACGACGAGGTAAGTAAATCATCCCTTCCCCGTCACAAAATCTCTCTCTTTGTTGGTAGCCTATCTGCACTCTAGAAAGCAAGCGCGCCTACATCACCCGAAGCGTCTTACGCGTGAGCCTTCGACGGTTGTTTGAGAGAGGATTTTCTCCCCG